ATCTTAGGCCACTGACGCCTAGTATATATTTTATCTGCGGATGGTAGGTACATCTTTTCTTTTAGGGACCGTAGCTTATGTCCCCCCTACGGGATAATGTGGTAGATCCATCAGGAAGGATGGATCTTACAGCCCTCCTTTCGTTTCGTAGGTCCCGGGACCTTACATCCCCCCGGGGATCGTAGGTCCCTCTCTTCTTTTAGGGACCGTACATGGTGGAGGGTCCCTCTATATATATATATATATATATATATGCGTGTGTGTACGTGTATGAGTGAGTGTCATATTTCTATATGTTGTTCGCCCAAGTACTGGAAAGCTATATAAATATATCCAATCCTTAGGCGAGTGCATGCAGACAGGCAGGCACGGGTATGCCCGTCTTCAATATGCATTGGGGACAAAATGTTGGTTGAAGCGCAATAGTGATGTCCTGGAGTCGAAAATTTTCTCAGGAGTATTTTATAGTTGTCGGCTAATGAGGAATACTCGGCGCTGTGTTCCCATTTAAATTGTGCAGTGGTTTGAATTTGCCCCTCCGCGAGAGACCGAGCCGCGGTCGCGATGAATGAATTAGAAGATCATTTATCTTGCCATGCCCTGCAATGCGAGTGAAGCCGATGTCAAAATTGGGTAGAAAATGCGTTTCTAGATGAGACTCTTCTCTGATGTCACATCGAGGCTGTACTAGTACTAAATAGCAAACACTTAACTCCAGGGCATCCTCGATTATAACAACAACAAAGGCAGTGTAATGCGTCCCATTTGAACTCTTTAATTTTGACAGTAACAATAGACTTGTGTCAGGTACTAAACGCAAAAAAATATCGACCGTCTCGTCATAAGAAAATATCATCACGAGAGTGCGCGCTACAGTTGAGCTGATACGCGGCGGTATTAAGAGCTTTAATGAGGAGCTGTACAAAAGTCAGCAAAAAGATGAAGATTGAGGCAAACGCATATACACAGACGACATCGGCTATGCACTCAGAGTATCATACCTGTATTCGGCTTTGTATAATCCCTCTGAATCGTAGGCTCTTCTTGTCTTTTCCTTCTCCCGGGAATTTTCCGTCCTAGTGTACTTTTGGATAGAAAGGCAAGCTATCAGTGCGAAAAAAAGGCTTGCTTATTCGCAATACCATGCCAAACGCGTGTCCAAAATTAGCAAGCTATGGTGGTGCGTACCCGCTGACTAAAATTAAATCCGACTAATCAGCCCGATATCTGCCTTCGGCTGCGATACACACGTTTTCCTGCAACTTGTGCATTTAGCGAATCTGTGTTTATGGACATGCTATTGTACAGGGCCATGTAGGATAATAGTTCGAGCCAACACAAATTAAGTAGACCTGATGCAAACACGTTCCACATAGCGAACCGGATGTAAACTCGCGATACAGGTGTACCACCCATAGTCTAAAAAGCCTATATGCACCACATACAATCCACATAGCTAGCTATACGCGCGCGGAAATTTGTGTAATGAAGTCAAGCTTCTTCTCTGGTGTGTGCCCTTCGACCCTGTTCAACAGAATTAATTTTATCGAATCACATACGCAGGGGTTGAATGAAAAACGGTCGCAGAGACTGTGGCCAAAGCACGCGACACCTCTGGCTGCTTTCCTGGTATTTTGACAGGGGCAAGCGTTGTCGATACCTAACAACCAGCAACAGATATCAAGAAAAAGAAACGTACACGATGAGTCATATAGAAATCAGGTACGGCTCGTGACTTGTATCTTCATCGCAGAAGCGATCGCTACTGGGAGCAAATGTGTTCAGATGCAAAATGAATGTCGTTGTGAATGAAAACGAAATCAAATTACAAGAATAAAGGGATCACCATTTTTGTGAAACGAATGTTGTTTATGGATACGAGGTGTGTTGACCTTTGCTCACAGCCACTGTGTCTAGCCCTGGGAATCCAGTTTATTTGTTTTCGTTTAGCATCCGACCCATGCACCCGCTCTTGTTCGTATTCTCCTGACTCAAAGCGATCCAGCGTTGACGAGCATACACGCGAGATTTCTGACACATCAAAACCGCTGAGCCCAAAATGTTTCGGTCGGAGAATTGTATGAAATTTTGCCTCCATCCAGTAGTGATACAAAAGGGATGTATGACTTTTATATAACAGGGTGAACCTGTCCTCACATTGTATGTCTAGTTATAAACAATCCACAGACGCTAATTCTCACTTATATACATATTGCAATCAGCCACAGACTATCCGCCCAAAATAACAAACTACAAAGCAATCTCTCTGTGATCATTACATCACCCCTCATTCTGCAACGGAGATGTGGGGTTCAAAACGGCAGAACTAAACTGAATTCGTACACTCACCTGTTGCGGCGTGATTTCCTTGTTCACCTTCGCCCGGTCAATCGGTATATTTGGTGTCGTCCTCGTAGGTCGGCCTTTAATACCAGCTGGACTGGCCTTTAGTTGTGTGTTTGTGATGACTTGTAATGGCACTACGACGTAATAGAAGGATATAATAAGATTTTGGATCGGAGCTATTTTGATAGAATTCACAAGCACTCACCATCTATAAACTGCAACCAGACTTACTTGGCCATTCTGAATCAGAAAGCGTTAGAGAATCTGATAGTCTCGATGTAAAAATATAGCACAATTCGGTTTTTACAAATCATTATCTAAGACGTTCGCCTACCTTTCTCAGATTCCTGCATGTTGTAGATTGGGGTCTCTAGTGCTTTTACGGATTCTTTTGGCTGAAGTTTTGGACTTGGCAATACTTCCGATTCCGGTTTGACATTATGCTCTATTTTCGGCTTTTGTCTCGGCATTGGTTTCGGTTTTGTTTTGGGTTGCGTTTTTGGCTTCGCCTTTGGTTTGGCCTTGACTGTGAAATCGCTATCGCCTCCATCGCTCTCACTGTGATACAAATCAGCCGATCGCGGGAATCGCTAGTTAGCGTAGTTTACCGTACTAATTGGTTGCATGCCTATTTGAACAAGTTATTTTTCAGGGTGAATATTGTATGCACAAAATTTCGTCACAATACTTGTTTCTGTATCAAATACAGGCGCGTGCGTTCATATACCCTATAATTTTTTTTCTTTTCGTGATGATAAAACAGATGTTGCTATATAGCCGAGGTACCAATGATCAATGACTAAATATATGTTTTAGAGGAGTACTCTGGCAAACGTCGTATGTGATAGATTTGCATCAGGGACGGGCCCCGCGTACGAGGTTGACAACAAAAATACTTTCGCAGATCTGAGGAGGACATATCGTAAGGCTATCATTTACGTGAAATTGTTGCTAAAGAGAATCTATAACTTGATAACTACAGGTCAGCCATCGTGGTTTCAATTTTGGTTGTGTAAGGTGCACACATATGCCAAATTGCAAGCATCTAAATGTCAACACTATGGAACCTGTTGATAACGAGATATATCTACGTAAGACATACACTTCAGTGCTGGAACTCGCCTCGTCATAGTCAGAGCCAGAGCCGGTAGAGGATGATGCAGAAGCAGACGCGTGCGAACTGTCAGATTCAGAGTGGTGTTCATCTGCAACTACGCGTTGTGTATTTGACATTTGTAAGTAATCACTTACTATACCACATCTGAATAGCTGTGAAACTGCCTATGACCAACACACGCGACTGCTGAAAAGGACGTGTGAAAAGGAAGGCGCTGTAATATAGTAGCGATGTATGGAGCAGGGAAATTTGAAGAACATATAGAAATACAGGCAATCCCGAACTACTTGTTGGGACCTCGGGAAAATATGAACAATCGATAGTCTCTCAGCAGATATGCTGGTGTATCTGTGGCTAAAAATAGATTGGAAGTGTGATTGGTATAAAACCAGCACTCAGCATTCCAAATATCCCTGGAACACTGCACATGACTTGCTCAGCTGAAACCTAAGCACTTCTGGAATACACTTGTACAACAGATATATAGGAAGGTGACCTAATCTACCGGTGAAAGCACTAGCCCTTTGCGGAGACAGGAACAACTGCCACGTGAACGGTCAGCTATATTTAAGCAATAAATCACGGAAATTAATATACTCTCAAACAGATCTGCGCGAGAAACAAAAAGTTTGTCCAGATACACGATGTGAAAAGTATCCGAAATGATTAATCGGGCCTGTGGGTGTTAAAATCTAAAAATGACTCAAGTTCCACCTCAGAACATAAGGGTCCTCCTATTATGTAAAGAATCAGACCGCCCTGGGACGACTCTCACCTTGTTTAACGGCCACCGATGCAGTTATGCGCACCTTTGACGGCGCAGTGTTCTTCGGCCCCGCTTTAATGGCCTTTCTCTTCGTCGGCTGCTGTGGGAAATTGCCCTTTTTGTGAACTCCATTGTGCTTTGAACTCTGTCTGGGTTGAAACTCAGTTTCCAATTCAGATTCAGCATCTGATCCGGAATCAACTTCCGACTCAGATTCGGCAGTTTGTTCATCCGTTCCAGAATCTGAAGACTCAGACTCTGATATCGCATGGTGCGCTCTCTTAACTACGTATGAGTGTTGAATGAGTCAAAGTTAAACTGAAAGTCATCTCTCAAACTGGTATATAAGGACATATCAATTTCACACATACACTCTCACTGACACATGCGTATACCGTACGTAGATGTGCTGGTAAAATTGTCATATATGCTGAAGAAATTGTCTCTTTTTTTTGACAATTACTCGCACTAATGACATTAGTGCGAAATTCTGTTTTAAGGGAGAATGGATGCGAGCTCATACTAAACTCACCCCGTCAGAGTCACAAAAGGCCAAATAAAGTCAACATGAGCAGCTCCCATACATACAAACTCCGACGACAAATAGTGCGTGTAAGTATTCACAGATAGATGCCCGGAGCATGCCCACTGACGACCGCAACGACAAGTGCATACGTGTTTCCCGTGGAGTTGAAGATAGCAGACACGTACTCATATATAGAAATATCAACCCCCACAGAAGCATATCGTGTTTGAGGTACCTGGTACGGCTGATGTTTTATCAAACGCTTTTGATCTGTTGGGCTGTTTTGAAGTATTTTGTGGATTTTTTTTTAAAGAGGCTCGGTGTCTACTAGAATCGGATTCTGAAGCAGACACGCATGATGAATCGTCCGATTTCGAATTGAACATTTTCTGTACCTTTCGCTTGCAAGTAGAATCTGTGTTTGTACATTGGAGTGGTGTGAGTACTGTGCTACTAAAAGGCCGAGAGTGGTGGCGTATCTCCGAGTTTATGCACATTGTGTAGGCTAAACATGTATTCATGCACTAACTGAGGTGTATTTATTTCATTGTAGCTAATATTTTAAAAATACAGCACGTAGACACTATCCACATATGCATGGTGCATACAGATTGGCATGTCTGTGACTAGTGGTGGCATTTGGCAATACAACAGTAATGAGCACGAAGCACACAACCATCGATTGACGTGAAAACCGTGCTCTATGAATCTAAGCCCGTGAGTATACTCATTCTGACAAACATACACTGCCTAAACACAAAGAGCCAGCATTAGTTTCATGTAGCGCAATGTATTGTATGTGCGTACACATTTATATTTTGAACTAACAGTTAATCTACATTAAGCAACCGTGCAGTATCAAAATACATCTGTAAACAAGACGATTGCGGCATCATTTTTGTGTGTGTAGCCCTCCGGTAGTTAACTTTAGAATATGAACAAGGTACAAGAAAACAGGATGCTTAGCAATTACTAAACAACTCGTGAAGCCCAACAGTTCCTGTGGAAGTCTTGAAAAATATCTATATTGTACAGGATATTTACACAAAGGCCATATCAACGAATCAATCGAAGTGCTTAGTATGCGAGTACAAGTAAACCGAATTATTACGCGATGCACACGCTTTTAAGAAGCACAAAAACTTGAAGTCCAGTTATACGACACAACTACTACGCAGCTGTGTTGTCAAAACTAGTCAAGTCAAGTAAGAGCTAAATGGACATACAATGTGTACAAGCAGATCAGAAAACTTACTTCGCTTAGTGCTGCTGTGTGCCTCTGACTGTACGACCGCCGATTTGGCACCGGAAGCGCCTGCTTTCTTTGCACTGTGTTGCTGTGGCTGGACCTTTTTGGTGAGACTAGCGTTTGCTGTGCTTTTTCTACCTGTATCGGATTTTCGTCAAAACAGCCATTAAATCACGTGCCATAAAATCACGATACTGATATCGGGCGAGGCCAAAATGATCCCGAACATAAATAGCTAGAAACCTAGCATGTAACCCCAGCACTACAACACATGACGAATGCATATCTCTGACGAAATTAGAGGACGTCTAGCATTTTAATTATCGCAACCAGAATGGTACATATAACCATGCCACACCTTTCAATAAATTTTTCTACACACTTTTTCATATAATTTTTTATGCACAATGAGCATACCCGAAGTATCTTCATCTGGGGGTAGTGGTCCGATAATGGTTAAGCGTCTTACGGGCAACGACGCAGGTGTATCTCCAGAAGATTGGGATTGCTTTGAGCCCTTAATGATGGTGTGCTGGTTCGATGCGGAGCAGACTGGTGAATGAGAGCGTGTAACCCGCTCGAATTGAAGCACAAATAAACCAAAATACGCCACCTAGTTACTGCCAGAGTATGATCGCTTGAGACTGATTAGCGACAGTCCACAGCTGACACAACTACTTGCAACCTCTGACTGGACAAGACCACCATCGATGCGCAATATCAGACATATACTTGCAAATTGGTAAGCAAAGGTTTATAAAACACCTGGTAAGTTGTGAATCCAGTGAGTCGTGCGTGGCTGTGCAGAACGTAAATTCATTTGGAGGTAAAGACTTTACCAATACATTCGAATTACCTGCTCAGACTGCGCAGTGTTATATCACACAGAAATCTGGTTCCCAGATAAATTGGATACACACTGTGAAACTTGAAAGCCGATACGGAAACAGCATGCACAGGACAAAGCGGCAACTCAAAGTTGCGGCGGATGATTAACGATACTGTTTAAGCAGCCAGTATCGCGGCAATATGCGATGTGGGCATCCATACCTTGAGTGTCTGGTACTAACTGGTATTCGCTAAGAGGGCCGGTTACGTATGTTACGCAGCTCATGCACAACACAGCACTACATTCCATATAGTAAGTGTACTGTGTTCTGCTGGTGTATATTTCCATACTCACATACCTCATTAGACATATTCCTCTTCAGACTCAGCGATTCCCGTCTCGGCGCTGGCTGTTTGTGATTCGCATCACACGCCGGCGGTGCGTTCTCGCGAGACACTTTTCCGATATCGCCGTCTTTGGTTGCATCGCCTGTTGCATTGACAATGCCGTTGTATTGAATGTGACAAGACAACACGCCTATACCATAGTACGGTTCTTAATAGCACGATGCAGCCGCACTGATTGCCACCGTTGCGACCCAGCGTGTACAGAGGGGAGGGTGACTCCTCATGGTGCTGGACTAAAACACTCATCGGTAAATAGAAATTTATCCACACAGCCTATGCACAAGTTACTATTACCTGACATTCCGGTACCATAATTTACGAATACAGCGCGGCTAGCTAGAGTACATACAATTCGCCTGAGCAGAACACAATGCATAGCTTTGATCTGAAGTGAATAGATCTCTCACCATTTGCCAGACTATTCGGCTGGTCCATAGCTGATAATCGCAAGGCCTCCTGCAGTTGACGTTCTTCAGCCTCTTCAAGTGCTCTCCTGCGTTGCATCCGCCTGCAAACAACACCAAATAGCAGCTGAGTGCGTGGTGGGGTTAAGCTAACCTAGGTCGATCACGATTTGTAATTCATAATCTCCTCCCAATCATACGCACTACTCACGCGCTACAACTTGATCTACCCAAGTGCAGATAGATCGGTAGACAGACGAGGACACACTGCAGCTTAGCACGTGCGCCAGTGATCATAATTGGAGCCCACTATGAGGACCAAACATGGCGTCGCAAAACATCACAGACCACGACTGTGCGTACAAAATCTGATTCTTCATAATTGCTACAAAATAGTTGAAAGTGAGATATAAACTTAGTTAGAAATTCTTCACATACCCATCTATGGACGTATCGGAGCAGTTTTTTGACATGGATGCCATGCGAGAAGATCCGGGCGGAGTGTCATCGTCGCTATCCGCGTACTTGACATTTGTCCCAGGCCTATCGACAGTAAAGAACGAGCTTGTTAGCGGCGCAAAACGCATGAATGCGCAAAACGCGCTTTGTGGTCACCACTCCCGTGGAATCTGATATGGAACACGATAGGCTGCAACCTGAAACTTATATCGTTCTATGTGAATAGCACGTTCGAATACGCATACATACATGCACACGATATGTAATACGCCTACCCATATGTATTCAACTCCATCTGAGCATACAAACATAATTACACTTAGTTATACAAATGCGCATGAATCTACACATGCAAACACACATATACACATACACACGCGTGCCCAAACACTTGTACAGATTAACAGATAAGCCTTCATAATTACGAATACATTCACGTCTTCGAACACAGATCGAACGCTTGCGCAGTGCCGCTACGGGATTCACGTATCACTATAAACACCTGCAACTCATAGCTTGGAATACATCGTAGCAACAAAGATAAAAATAACCAGTCTTAGAAGATATGCACCTACAAAGACAAACACGCATATCTATACAAACACACACACACCTTACACATATGCCCACGCGCTAAACACTGAGGTATACGCATAACCACATACGCTTCACGATCACGACATTCACGAACACAGATCGAACACTTGCGCATGCCACTACGATATTTTCGCACCTATATAGACACCTGCAACGTAAATCATTGCTTGGAATACACCATAAGAACGAGGTCAAATACTAATAGTCTCAAACCGTTCACCAGGTACCTACCTCGAGCTATATCTTCGATGCGTCATATCTGGATATCTCTTTCGTATACGAGCCTTGGAATGGTCCTATAAGATGTTTGTAATAGAAAGCTGAATTTTTCTATGGCTTGTGCTTCAAAAATAGTGACTCCACTGTTCCGACGAGAACAGAATGCAGTAGCTAATCGGATCTAGCTGCCTGTAAGTTGCCTGATATGTATTTACATCGACCCCCTCATATCTATGATTTAGCATCCGCCCATGCCCAGCAATTAATTATACGTATACTGTGTATGTGGCGCCTCGTTAGTCATATCAGAATCGTCACCGATCCAGCTGTGCCTACACTCTCGTGTATTGAATACGTCAAAGCAACGAACACAAATTTCAATAGCGTACTTATATTATCCGTCTTTTGATCAGCTTACCTCAATCCGTTATCGGGGTCCCAATTAAAGGTTAACGTAAACGCTTATTTATTCGATTTGTGAACAGTAGAATATTTATAAAGGTCAACGACCGGAAAGGACGTACCTATTGTGCAAACCGAATTGGCACATTAGGGGACAACTCTAAATATTTTGAACCTCAGGGCTCGAAGTAAGCACCCTGTATTGAAAATTATGGGCCTTAATGATCTAAGCGTGTATTGTATGCGTAAATATATATAATGATTTTACGTTCAAACACAAAACGTATTGAAGTTTGTCATACTACTCTCACTGTCTCAGTGAGAGACCAACACTGGATTATTATTACAGCAAACGAAATGGCAACGGGTCGGCGCTGTCGGCCTCGGGCTGTCGACAGCACAGGGCCCCAGGCTGCTGGCACTCGGAACTCCAAGTCGCAAAACCCCGCCAGAATTTTCTAAAAAAATTGTACACTACACCAACCGGCTTTTCTTTTTATTAGGGTTCTAGGGATTCTGTACAAATAGAAAACTGGTCTATTTCAGGAGGCTTTGAGAAACCATAAACTGCGTACTTTGGCAACCCTCAGGATGCATTGACACACAAACGCATCGCGCTGCTATTATGAGTTACAACATGGCTATCGAACTGGCAACATGGGTATGAATACTCTACACGCTCCCTCTAGAGCAATTATAAGAGTACCGAGATCGCTAGAATATGGTATGTGCTCTACATGCCGTCGTAACGGCACGCAGTACAGGGACATAGTCGCCGGTTCAACTGATTTTGAGCGCCTTTCTTTCTTCACAGGGATTAGTTGTACATTATTAACAAGTTGGGAACTTTTGCATTGTATACGTGATCACAATTCATGCCGTAGCTGAATCGTTTACAAACTAGCTATTATTCGGCTCCAAACTGCTGCTATACATTGTATATCCACAAGGGGTCTACAGTAGTGGTCAATTACACATAAGTGACGACCTAACTTTGCAGGTGTAGACATGAGCAGATCGGTGAGGATCTTTGCTCAGGGTGAGTGAGATCCTGCATATTTCGTTAAATATTATTGTGATCGGTAGCACCATCAAACTATGGCCAAGACATACTATTACACACGCATAGATCAATTGAGGAGTCAGTAATCATAGGCAACTCACAAAAATACCATGTACAAGGGAAGCAATACAATGATGCGAGAGTTTTTACTGAATCTATTCAATGCACCAGATTATTGCAACGCTTGTACCTTATTAGTATTTCGCATATCCATGTGTAGTGAGAAACTGCTGCTGCTCAGTTTGTAGAAGGTTTTTGAACTAGTCCATAATCAACTTATTGGCAAATCGCTGACTTCAAGTGATACTGCGGAAACTGTGGTTGTTCACTGAATTACTAGGGTACGGCTTCGCCAGCATACTATTACACACCCCAGCAGCGGCAAAAAGCACCTTTTTACCCATGGGGATGGTTATGAAGCGCTTAGCCTTGTCGTTCACACTCCTCAAGAACATACGCTCGCTGTTGTTCTCTGGGATACGTTTCCAATAGTTCTCGAGTATGTGCGCAGGGCAATCCATATTCTGAATCAGTTCCCCTACACACGAACATGCCGCTATGAGTAAACTCTGCTGGCCTGACCCGTCCTTGATTCGAGATTGAAGTATTTGGTCAGGCAAGGAGACGTGCAACTCTAGCCGCTTAGTCATGCTGTTAATCTTAGGCACCACATGGTTGCTCCTTAAGTGTGGCAGATCCTCCACTTTCAACTCCAACTTGACACATAACACTATTAAAACAGCCAGGCGGAGGGCCTGGGCATCACTGTTCCCGTTGTAAAGCTCATACAAATTACGCAGCATCACCATTACATCCTCAGGTGTAAACGACACAGGTTGCGTTTCCAGAGCCTTTGTGATCTTCTCTATAGCCGTCCTATACAAGGGGTAAAGGTGATAATACCCCTTATGATACGGCAGCTTCGAGTTCTCCATCAACATATTATGCAGAAAGGCCTTAGAGGTTTTGATCCCGCTCGCAGTCTTGAGTGTTTCCCATCGTATATTGATATACTTGGCCATGTGCTCGTCATCTAAATCGGCCGCGGTCCACTTCATTTCTTCGTGCCACAATTTGTACTCCGTTCGGTATTTCCTGGCCCCCTTCAACGGAGGCATGCGTGCCTTTTTCTTCCTGCCACCCTTCTCAATGGCGCTTCCTTCCCCTTTCGCACCACCCACGCTCGAATCATTCTTCGCCTCAAAACCACTAGTAGTCGACCCTTGGGCAGTCAGAGATATGGCCTGCGTGTTATTGACATGCATACCATGAGTAAGTGGCAATGTCGCCGCGCTGGATGGTGGGTAGTACTGAGCATATTGCATGTACTCAGTATTTGCTGCCGGCTCTACTGGTATGGTGTGTGGGTGCATGTGTGGAGGTACGCCGACCCCATACATCGGTTGTACGGGCACGACAGCTGATTGTTTCTCGGCAAATTGAGCTATTTTAGCCAGGGCACGTGTATACACAGGATACAAGCCAAAATTGGCCTCGATGTATGGTGGTTTTCCATTTTCTACCAATATATTATAGACGAAGGCTTTCGCCGGTTCCAATTGCGTGCCGTTCAAGGTATTGAAACGTTCTTGTATGAAGTATGCAATCTTCTCATCCGTGATACTATCCGCGCCCCACTTCAGCTCTTCGAACCAAATCTTACACTCGGTCATGTACCGTCGCGACCAGTCTGCATTCACGTTCGGCTCATTGCTCGCAACTGCGGTGGCCACAGGAGCTACTGGGTTTTGATTCTGATCCGTGGTCTGTGGTTGCACGTGATGTAGTTGCGCTTGGGGTGGAGACGACACGATTGTATTCATAACAGTGGTCGTGGGCGAGTGCGGGCCCGTGGCTGTACTTGGCTCATGTGGTGGGGGAGCCGCAAGCGCCAAATTTTGCTGATTCTCGTTCACTGCCGTGTCCTGTGAGACTGCATTCCCGGCAGGTACTGATTGTGGGTGTGCAGATGAACTCATGTGTGGCGGTGATGGGTTGCTTAGGGGTGGGTGGGTCGAACTACTTAGTGGTGGGTGTGCTGGGGTTCCGTCTTGAGTCTGTCCTGAGCCTTCATCAGTGTGTGATTGTGCGGTTGCATTCATGTTTGTTTGTTCAGAACCATCCAGTTGCGGCTGTCCGGAATTATTGAGCTCGGAGTTGGGATATGCTATTTGCGCATATTCCTGTACCTGCACGTCTGCTGGCCCTACTTCTGCGTAAGCATACTCATAAGAGGGAGCAGGGTTGGGTACGTTACCACTTTCCTTTTTATACCCATTCTTGTACTCCGGAGCAGCCTCGATTGTATCCAGAGCCAACTTGTACTTCGGATACAGGTGACAATTGACTCTGTGGTACGGTGGTTTGCCAGCTTCGATCATAACATTAAACACAAACGCCTTGGCTGTCTTGATGCCGCTTCTGGACTTCAACATAGCCCATCTCTTGTTGATGTACATGGCTATATTCTCATCATTCGCGTCATCAAGTGTTAGCTTCAAATCCTCAAACCAAATCTTGTGCTCAGTTCCATATCGCTTCGACCCTACAGGCACCGCACCAACATTTGCTTTTCCCTTGCCTCCACGATACTTCACGACAGGTCCTTGCTGTTGCTCAGCTGTGACGTTGTGCATAGAACCATCCATTAGCACCATCCCTTGCGATACAGCGGGTTCAGTACTCTTCTGTTCCTCGACCGGCCGTGTCTCTGCACTTTGCATCTGCTCGGTATTCTGCATCTGCTCGACAGGCGAAGGTTGCGAGGGGTCTACTTGATTATCCGATACCATCTCCTGCATCTCATGTACAGTCGCTTGACCGTCGTGGCTTTCCAATTGACAGTCAATAGTATCTACACCTCCATTCACAGCAATATCAAAGCTCTCACGTGCAGCATGTGCCCTGTCGTGTACATCAGGTGCCTGCGTAAGCCTCGCTACTTTATGTGCGTGTGCGTGTACCTCTGGATACTGTATTATGACACTCTCCTCACCGTCGCGTACATCACCTCCCGTGCTGTCGCCTTGGTCAGTCATCGACTCTCTATCGTCCCTTGGCCGTTTATATTGTGTCTGACCCGTTTGCTGATCTGTGTATATACCCGTGTCATTAGGAGAATTACAGTGCAACTGCTCGTCCATCGCAGCCATCACACCACCCGGCTCGTTTATATTCGCCAGCAGTGCATTTGGTGCGGCGTCAGTGCTCCCTTTTTTCCTCGGGATCGGTTTGCTTGCGTGACGATAATCATGTGATTCGGTGATAGTCTTAATAGCTTCCGTATACAACGGATACATGTGAAAATGCTTCTTTGTGTACGCCAGCTTCCCATTGGCCAGCAAAAGGTTGTATATGAAAGCTTTGGCTGTCTTGAAACCAGACAAGGTCTTCAGCGTATCCCACCTCAATTTCAGGTATGACGCCATGTTCTCGTCTGTTACACTCTCAGGCCCATGATTGAGTTCTGCAAACCAAATCTTATGCTCAGTAGGGTAGCGTCGCGTAGGATTTGACTGTGGCGTAGTGTTGTTCGCGTCTGTCCGTGCTGCACCTGGACTGGTCATACTATGGCTTAGTTGTGCATCAAAGACGCCTACATTGGGACTCATGTGTGCTATCGGCGTTTGTGCTGATATATTTTCTGGCATACTGGAATTAAACTCTGTGCAACCCGCTTGGCTATAACTATCACCACTCGCGTTGCCGTCATCGCTCGAACGACCCACGGGTACGTTGAACTTCATGAGTTCCCCATGATCATAATTTGGGTACTGTCCTTCGTTTTGTGCAGGCACAGATACTTCTCGTGTATCCGACATCCATTCTTTATGGGTGCCATTGTGACCTGTTTCCGCATCATCCAGTGGTTCAGATGGGTGATCGGGCGCTTCCTGACGCATAGGTGCTGTTTGGTGCATATGCGCTGTTTGGTGCAACGGCGCTGTTTGGTGCATCGGTGCTGCCTGGTGTATAGGTGCTGGCTGATGTAAAGGTGCGGTTTGGTGCAAAGATGATGAGTGCTCTATGGACGAGTTGTGTTCTAAAGGATACTGATGATGGACATCTTCTCCACCCTCGCCCACCCCGCCAGTCGGTCTGCTATACATAATGGTTGAACAATATATTACTGTTTATCCTGGCGCTGAAAGCAATTCGCCTTCGCTGCTGGGTTAGGTCTTAGCGGCACATCCAGCTGAAAAAGCAACCGCCCTGCAGGCCTGCCAAAGCGACTTTTTTTTTACCTTCCACTGCTGCAGTGCTGTATGATAACAAACCCCTTAGGAAGGCAGTTTGAGAAGATCGAGTAGATTATAGATGCTGGCTGTATCGTCTCAAGCGTTTCTGGTTTATTAGAAGTGCTTGATGCGTTTAGGCTCGATTAGCCAGGTTTCACACTAGTTTACTACTCAAATGTGTGTGGGGTTTTACTAAAAACTCGCCCCTTCTCTCTATCCTTTCGCGGCATTCGAATCGTCGTGACTGTTGATGTATTTCGACTGTGGGTCTGGGAGTTGAAGACTGCCCTGCCCACTGATTAAACTGCCAACGGACGCTGAAAACTCTGAAATAAAACACAGTTATTTAGCGACGGTTTCCAATCTGATTGTATGTAATCTAGAACTTAATTTGTCGTAAACTATAGCTTGCAATTGATAACTTCCCGGGAGACCTAGCACGGGTACCCATTTCAGCCATCCATTATGTCGTAAATAGACTCTGTATTTAAACCAGGTGTATATAAAACTGATCTTATCTTCGTTTTTAATCAATAAACCAATATGTACTTTATCAGGTAAAGGGCCGGACATCACTCGACGCAAAACTGGTTCTGAATCTGAACTTTCAACTTATGAAGGTCAAAGTCCAAGCCTTGAAATTTATGACCTGGTTTATCTTCCTAATTTGGAAGTACCTTTTTCGCGCGCAGTATCGTTTCTATTTTGTGTACTTTATGTCAGTTTTTTCTATAAAGCAAAAGAGAAGCCTGAATACTATGTACTCCTACTACTAGAGCGTAGATGGGCGCCACAACACCACACGATAGATGATGAGTGTGTGTAATAGATAGCGGACTACGCTACCATAGTGTCTTGCAGTAGTGACAACCCTCATTAGATGTGTATGCGTGGAGGTAGGCGTTGTCACTAGCTCTATTTGCGTCTACTTCAAGCAGTTGGTTATGGTAAATATAAAATAGCATCTCAAGGTTGTTGAGGCCGGAATAGAGCACTGCCTAGATGCGTGTAGTGTGGTTGCCAGACCGGTTTCGTTCTGTTTCCTGTGATTATATACGTTAGCCAAGAGAGGTCTGGCGTAATTACACCCGAGATACAGGTAGAGTATGAAAAAGCATTGAATGCGACTCTCGTGTACTTGTGTACTAGCTGATTATGGTGCGGACCTTTAGTACAACGCGTGTTTTACGCTCAACGCTTCCCTGTCATCACTGTCCGCAGTATGGATAGATCTGCAGTTGTAGCATGTGTTTGAACTTTTTCGACTTCTTTGATTAGACACAGTAGTGTCCTATTGCGCCCATGTACAGTGTAAATGGTATCATCTCCCGCCCTGATAGTCTGCAGTTTTCATATGTATGTGGCATCCAAAATAAATGAATATGTAAATTTGTAGAAATACAGCTGTCGCTTGCGTGCATCCTTTGATGACATCGTTCTATCCTCATCTGATTGTGCTCACCAAAAGTATCGTCAAAGTGAGTTTCAGTAATGTTAATAGAATTCCGCTAACTGTAATTCTGTATTCAGCTTGATATTCTCTCAGAGCTGCTAGCAGTAGACAGTGTATACATAATTAGTATATATCCAGCATGAAGAAAAGTGCTAGGCTATATATCCAGCATGAAGAAAAGTGCTAGGCTATAACGACACCTCCAATTACTTTGCATCTTATGGACTGACCGATACGTCCTGTGATCTATTAGTACTTATGTTCGGAGTTTTCGTTGGTTTCGATTACTATCTAATCAGTTTCAGCAAGAAGGAACTCAAAAGTATGTTTGATGATTGTAGGCTGTATACGAGTCAACATTTCGCTGCAAAGACTCTGGTATACATATAGAGCAGATTTGTATATTTCATTCTGTTTTTTGAGTGGAGCTTACGTCTTGATGACTTAAACATAATCTTATTGTGTTTCTGATATCGTGCACACAATATTTTTACCTGTCGGGACCATCCGCATCAGTCTGATGTTTAGCGTTTCGCGACACTTGCAATACGTCACACTCGCACTCGCGACGAATCGTAGAACTGTCCGCACTGTTGTACAGCCGAAAGCGTTATACCGAATATTGTAGATGCCGTGGTGTGAAGATACGTGTTTAAATCAAATTATGAGAATTGAAATCAAGTTCTAGCCTTGGTAACAATTGAAGAGTAAAATATGATTATATAGCATTTTCAATCGTCGCATCCTACACTCACAAAGTGATGAACAAAGAGGTTAGTTAGGCCAGTCCAGCTTGGTGATGGTAGCGCAGTTGATATGTCAATCAAATCGAGCCAGTGTCTATCGATAGGTATACCATGTCGACCCCTCAGCCCTCGCGGGGTGACCAAAACGACGGCAGTCGGAAACTAAAGAAATGGCTATTTGGACCGCGTGTGACCGGCTCTGAGCTCGACATAGTCTCATCTCCCTCCACAATTGTGGGACATACAAAGGGACGAATGACTCGCTCGCAGTCGCAGTCACAAATAGACATGCCGCGAATCATAGAAGGGAGTACTGGTAAGTTGTGATACCTGAACAATGGCTATCGAGTAGAGTATTTCGCCTTTGCGGTTTTAAGACTGAGAGAGGAGTCTGCTTTGTTTCTCACGTGAAGTAGGACAGTCAATGTGCCGTGTGTTTAAGCAGAAATTAGCAGTGCGTGCGTATATATGTCTATAAATTTTTGTATGAATGTCCCAATATAGTTATATATTACCATATAGACACGGGCAAATGGTTTGTCATCCGTGAATAAAACAAATCGTAAGTGGATTTGTAGTTGTATCTTTGTCGCTGTGAAGCTATTTCATTTACCACTGCCATACGTGACCAACACAATCGGAGTGAGCATTTGCATGTGCTACTATGGCTCGTATATGAGCATGTACTTCTCAGTTGCCAAGTATGATTATATTACGGTACATCTACTTCGCGGTGTAGCTAGGGCTTGTCTGTTTCGCGATTATAATATGCATATATGCAATAGTTTTATATGTAAATGAAGTGAATATAGCAGACGAATTGTTGATCTATCTGGAATAGTATTCAGCACATAACCGGATATGTATAGGTACAACCCAATCTCAGTCGAGATTAATATCATCCTCACCACGGCTGTTCTCCATTGCACACTTGGCTGGGCGTTGTGTTTAGCTTGCTATATTACTGCAATGAGAAGTCTGTTGCTTTGCATTCCTGGCGGAATCCTCGAGATAGATGGCTTGCGTTTGTGTCTTAGTCCTGACAAGGTCTGAGTCACGCATATCCACTGGTACTCATGATACATATAGATATACATAACAGATATTTGCGCGTATTCAATGTCGAGTAAACGCTACATGCCAACATACCAACTCAAGTCTTATTTAATTTAAATTTCCGATGACATGAGAACAGATATCGAAAAGCTGAAAGTCTGCCATGTGCGCGCCCGGTCTCAAGACACTGCAGCCATCAAAAATGATATTGGCTTTGGGCTGAGAGTATTTAAAGAGTACGGAGCAGATCAGCGAGAGGGTTTGACTATCACTACGCCGATTCTCCCTTCTACCAAGCATGAGCTGCGCAAAATGATGGTATGCCATGACAAATAAATCCTAATAAGTTAAGCATCGTCAGCTTTGAAGTGAGTGATACCAATTTTTAATTTTCATCGCGGGTTAATGAAGTTAAACTTTGGCTGGGTTATTGTTGTCGTCCTCGATTTCTACATACTGGTCAACCTTACTGGTTTTTGCTTCGATTCTTCTGGCAAACATTCAATGGTTTTCGACCTCGCTTTACTAAAGGTCTTTAGCAGCAGGTCGTATGACGCTTTAAACGAACCTTCCGGTTGGGTGAAAGGCACCAGGCAATACTACAGTAGCAACACGCAAAAACCGAATGCCAGCTGTAGCAAAGATAACCTAGAAGACGGTCGACAAATCCGAGCCAGAAATATGCAGAGCATCCGCGAAACATTATATGGACCACAAAGGGATATGCGAGGCAGGAAACGCAAGGGCGAGGTGTGTATTCGTAGAAGCATTTATCAGATTTGTGACAATTATTCTCGTGCTCACCTGTTTTTCTCCAGATCGGCATGATCTCGAGTATCGCACCCTAAGTCAAAATCGTATTATAATATTTCACGCCATATATTTTCTAAGCGAGCGCCGCTCGCAGTAACCATATGAGGAACGCTTACCCTTTCGAGTCTTTGTGGTAGACATTAGGATTGAACGATTTCTCGGTATATACTAAAAGATCTGCTGGACGAGTAATTTGTTAATAGATCGAGATCTAAGCGTAGATCACCAAGTTCAAATTAGGGTTTTGCGCACTTAAGTCACATATAATTGCTGCAGTATTGCGTCGATATTGTGTTGCAGATTACATGGTTTGGAAGTAGTATAGCAAAACACTGTGAAATCTGTATTATATCACATCGGTTGACATGTCAACTCACAGCAGCCTCAAACATACTGTGGCTTATGTTGTACATTTATGTCGGGGAATCATACATAAATCAATTTCCGGGGTTTTCCTGGACCCCAGCCTAGTAACATACTAACCTTGCAGCCTATGGCAAGTGAAGTCAAAGCGCATGTTGGTGGAAGATATTATCTCTATCTCTCTCTCTCTCTGAAGTTACCAAACTATTTTAATACCACGATGATCTGATATACACTACTCCCTTTGACGCATTCTAAGTTGAAAATATAAGTACAGCCCGCCTCAGGTGTGCTCGCGTTCCATGCTAGAGGCAAATACAGAGTCTTCTTGAAAATAGTTCTGAGCCTTTACCACATGTCTCTTGACTGCAAGAATACGGACCTACAACTCGAATCGCCCAACTCTGTAGCCTGATCTGACCCGAGTATGAAAGGCAATAAAATTTCTCCCCATCACTACTTCCAAGTTCCCCAGTAAAGCCCGAAAGAACCCGCCATCAACCGCCATGCGCAACGCAGGGAGTCTGCTCAAACCACCTCCATCGGAGTACCGACGCCGGGGAAATTCACCAGGTAAGAAAAACACTAAATGATATTGTGTATAGGCTTGCACTGTTATAGCCACATGCAAAGCTAACATGCGGTTTTGATATGTACATTTTTTTCTGGCCACGCCACCGCTATCACATGCAACTGCCATCAAGTGTAGTATATAGCTCGGTAATCCACCGAGCTCTACCCACTTTCCACCTGTTAAAATTGTCGCCATGAATTTGTTTTGATCTAATTCATTAGTTGGCAACTGTATCCTGTATGCTTACAGGAGAAAAATTCGCTCGTGACCCAGGCCCGTGCCCATTCAACCTCAATCACTTGTATCTTATAATACTCGTATAAGATGGATCATCAATAATAACTACAGTTCTCGTTAATATTCTGTTCGCGATCCACTTCCACTCATGCCTGTTTCCACTTATGTCTTCTTTCTCCCCGTTATACTTGCCAATAATTTGATACGGTAGCCTAATTTGTGGAATTTATTCATGCCTCTATTCTCTGGTCGTGTGCCATTTGGCATCTAATTATGAACTTCTGGTGTTGTACAGTACGACGTCTTGTCAGCATATCGTCTGGTCTGAATTGGACCGGTCATAAATTTTCATCCGAGATTGTCGCGGAAGATTTAAAGGTGACCGAGCCTACACTGCAGACACTATTACCTGAGGTTGTTGTTGATTCACCCGTTATAGATGAGGTATGGGTGCCACCACACGTTCTATAAAGTAGCATTAGGCTTGTATAGATTCTGTACAGGTCGACTTCGTGCGCATAATAGTCAGTGACTATATAATGTGAATATCATATGTCAAAAAAAATGTCATGGCTTTATTTTCGGGCGTTGGACGTCTCGTACTCCACTCACTTTTGAAGTAGTTTAATATTTTTTTTAAAACTCTGGTCCGTGAGGCATAGTTCGTTGTCGAATACTCTAAAAAAAACACCACTCGTGAAATTTATACACTCTGCTGTGTATAGGTAGTAGTGCGCAGTCTTGCCTGATACAACAGTATATAGTTCCGCGTGTGTTGTGTCGGATATGTATGCTGACACGTATCGTATCGCCGCTGTGCCACAACAAGTTGTCATTCGCACATTGAGGTTGTTTGGATATATACCATTGATTCTTCTTGATGGCCAGATTGCTTCCACACAAGAACAATACGATGCAGAGCCTTCCCAATTGCATCGTCTCACTATCAACTGCACATCTTGTACAGCCGCTATGCCCATCAGAAAATCTTATAGAATACGAAATTTTGAATTAATATTGCGTATGCCCAGCGCACTAATCAACTAGCAAATTATGCCTATAATTCAACTTACAGACCGATCAACAACTTTCGAAGCAAGCTGCCCGCGCGCTGGTCTTTACCACTCCTCATGTGTTCCGCACACTCGCATCGTTGCGGAAAGACCTTTTGAAGGCTACCGCCAATGGCTACTCCAACCGTGTGCGCGAGGTATGTATATATGGCGCACTGCACCTGATTGTTGAACTTCTATTGGAATAGGTGAAACTCTAGTATGGCTTAGTACTCAATTACCGATCGTTTTATAAACTTCGATCTATGAAAGGTTGCTTATTTGGCGGAGAAAGTATAGATCTTCTACTCATTTAAGCGGACCAATAGTTTGTCGATTCTTGTCGAAGAAGGAAGAATCGTTATTTGTTCGTGCTTCGAGTCTGCAATGCTCCCCTGCACTTACGTGCTTTGCAGATCATACAATTGACCCCTCCAACTTGAATACTATGCACACTACAGTTGCTAGACCGAGATGACGTACTGACGTTCCGAGACGCTTTCAACGAGAACAATGGGCTCACCCCACTGCATTACGCTGTACAAAATGAACACCACTACATATTGCAAATGCTGCTGGACGTAGAGTATGTGTGGGAGGGTGGGTATATTGGAGTGTTTATAAGTGCACACTGTGAGAATCAGGCTCGGCTATGCAGTGTCGTTAATGTTTAGCTCACAATAGAGGCTTTTCATATGACCACCCAAGGAGTCCCAATTAAGCAGATATTCTTACAAAGCGAATAGTATACAAACCTCGTACTGCTAGCCTTACAAGTAAGTGATTTGCAAGGTTCTGTTTGATTGCGATTTTGGCCATGTCTGAAACATTACACATATAGGCACACAATATGCATGTGGATTTGCATCAATAACTTCGTATAAAGTGGGTTCGCGGTCCAAAAAACTGGGGTTTCGCTCTTGGCTTCTCCTGTCGATGTCGTAAATTGTCAATTTAAGTAGAAACATGTCCATCAAATGACTGGAGGGGCGCCTAATTCAATATATGTTCTAGTCCGGAATGAGACCAGAGTTCCTGTCACAAATTTGGCGTATCGCAAATGAACAAACTAGGTCCGGAATCAGTTGGATTGTCTCCAATCTGTCCTCCGTGTAGAATCATGGTCATTCGCGATCTTCACGCCCTTTAGAGCACACGTATCGCTGTGAACGTAGCCGGTGGGCTGTGACACCTGGAGACGCCATACAGACGCCATGGTATTTTCTTTTAGCGAACAACGCTTTACTCCAAGCCACGATACAGAAAAAAATCAAAGAGGTCATCTATGGGAGTGGACGCAAATGTGTTTGGTGCACCTGTTTGCCTTTGTTAAAATTAATTTCGATTTCCGCTCGTTGCAAGTTCTGATTTGACAGCGATGAGCAATGCGGCGGAAACCCCACTCGACACTGCCATCCGAATGGAAAACACCACCGCAACCGTGAGTACCTCATGCTGTTATGTACGAAGAATATGTTACTCTCATCATTCAGCCCAGATTCTGATACGGTTTTGAGCTAACAGGCAGCCCTTAGCTGGGCTAGCCAAGTGTGAGAAAGGCACATTAGTCGAGTTTGGGCGGAATCCTTGACTACGAGATATTAAGTATTGCTACAGTGCCAAGGAATGCGCGAGAGGGATGGCAAGAGATTCAGTTGTGTTCATGACGTGATAAACATTACGCATGTCGCGATTCTGCGGACAGAACTGTGTCTCGTTTTGCATAATTTAGAACTACAGATGTGACAGTATGGGCACATGTGTGTCCTTTAGTCATGCTGGCCTCTAAACCCCCATTTGCTGCAAGCAAGCAGATTGAGGTCCGGGCGAAAATCAATCTTCGCTAAGCGCAGTTCAATGCAGAGCTAAATGGGACGAGGCCAAAGTCCCATCAAAAAATACCTACGAAGTCTATGCTTTCATTCTTTTAAATTTGTACTGACCTTCGCGCATCATAAATAACCCCGTGAATAGCGTATGCTTCGCGAGGCGCATCTTACCAGAGCCTTGCGTGAGACGGGGTTGAAGTCCCCAGCGATGACGGCATGCTCTCGCAGCCTGCGCGCACTTGTGGTGAAGCACTCGGACTCGTCCTCTGTGAATACAGAGGTAGACTCCTATGCGGAAACTAGCAGCACACTCGCCATGTCTCTGCAAGGGCCAATACGGGTAGAGGTGAGAATCTAAAATCAAACTGAGTACCATGCAGGAACCGATTTTAACAGCTAGACAAGCTGGTCAACACACTTGCCTAGCTGCAGATATCAAAAAGCATGTGCAAAGGTGGTGAAGGCGAACATGCGTCGTATCCTTTTGCTCGCTTGTACCGCACACCGCTAAGGATATTCATGTTGTTTTCTCAACACATGAAGTCCATAGTTTTACAGTAAGATGATATCACTTCAGTCTGACCCTATTAACCGGAGACATCGCATGTTTATTTGCATGCTTATCAAGGCACCCGGCGTCGTTGGCCTATCGCGAAATTAACTTTATGACATGTGTGGATGACAAAAATCCATGTTTGTACTTACTTTGAGTTCTGCGATATATATGCAAGTATTCTGCTCATGGGTGTTACGCAATATTGTTCGTGGCTGCAGGACGATTTCGTAATCTAAAGTCATAGTATGCTTAGAATGGGCATGCTTCCGAAGCTGTCAAGAATGTCCTCAGACGTGACTTCGAATAGTTTCGTCGCAAACGTATTGTCAATACTACCTCTACTATTTGCCAAGTCGATAAGATTTTGATCACAACATCTCTCATGCAAATACGAATTTGCTACTACGCCATTCTTTGACTTCTACTATTTACTTCTGAAATTTCACAACAACTCGGGACAGTGAGTTGGCAATTGTTGCATGTATGTCCAATCCTACTGTATGCGAATACCAATACTAATATGCATTGTCAGGTTTTCCAGGAAGATTGTGGCCCCTGGTATGATCGTCACACCCTCTACAAAGTCACAGTCACCAATGAAAGGCCCCGGTCATCTTCTTGCGAGGAGATTGACTCCAACGAATACAGTGTATTCAAACGTTTCAAGGTACCCTAAATGTTGATTTGAAGTGGTTAACCGGTGGTTTAGCGTATAGCGGCCAACTACATATTCTCTTAGCTGGTCATTAATATTGTCGTGCACGCCAAACACCTAGGTGTCAGCTATTGCACAAGTGCATCTACTGGCACATTCGAGGCCCGCACGCTGTAATTATTCAGTATATCAGATTTTGAGCTGCCACTCAGAAGTGCGCCAGCTGTGTGCCAACCGATGCGTTGCGAATGGGCATGTAGTCTCCGGCCTACACTCAGTTTATATTAGTACAAATTAATAGTGTTTGTTTAAGATGATCATCGCAGTGAATTCTTTAGCATCAAACCTCATCGGCAAGTATGAAGAAAAATCGACTTCTATCAGCAGTTGAGAGCACACGGTGGTCTGTCCTCATTTTGGCCTAATTGTTTGTACAATGTGTAGTAAACCCTTTCCGAGACATATTTTTGTTGGTACCCAGGTAGTTGGTTCGTGATATGCAGAGTACAAGTGGCGGTGCGATCGGTGTCGATATAATCGATACAGACAGCGATATTGGATTTGCAAAATAGTGGATAAATGACGAGTTTATCACATTCGTACCACATGATGCATTGGTAGTTGCAGTACCTTAACAACACAAAGCTCGTATAGAAGATTTTGTACAATTTTATATATAAGCGCTAAATAGTAGATTCTGACCATAAATGTATCTTCAATTTGGCAGTGGAGGTATAAATCAATAATCTGACTGGGGTAATCATTTATCCAAATACATTAGCTTTAGCTTAAAATGAACATTTCACATCCTAGTACAACAGCCGATCACCGCTGTATCTATACTAGGTATAACATTTGAGCAAATTGTGCTTTTTGAATCGGTCCCAGGACTTTTTGCGATTACATGACAACCTTGTGGAGGCGCCCATGGAAAATACTATTGTATCTCGCGAAACCATCGAAAAACTACAGGCAGCTAGACCTGCGAAGATCTTATTAGCCAGGTATTGAATACAAATGTCATGTCATTAACACTACTTCACTATATGGACAGGGTTAAAACTTGCACAATTCGTGAGCACAGGGAAATCTTGAAGCAATTTTTTTCATAATAAGCGAAATAGAACCAATGGGCATTCAGACATTAATATTAATATTGATATATTCGAGTGTTGTGCAGGTGCATTAAATTCAAATAATATCAGTACCACATTTACTCAATGGTGTGTGTATGTATGCATTTATGTAATTGTATATATATATATATATATATATATACGTGTGTGTGTGTGTGTGTGTAGTGTATATATATATATATATATATATATATATATA